CACCACACCCTCCCCAACACCACCATCACCACCCCAAAACCACGTCACCACACACACCGCCAAACAACACAGAACACACAACCACCGCTGGCAACAACTTCAGTTCCACAATTCTAGCGCACTATCCATCACAACGCCACGACACCGCAACGTTTATGACGACCACCGCCATACAACCATCGTACCGCCGTCGCCCACACACACGCCCAACCACACCCAAACAGATCTGCACCTTCACGAGACCTAACTGCTCAAAATAAAATAAAAAAAAATGGAACTGCACCTCTACCACCGTCGCACCCACACACAAACCCAACCCCACGCACGCACTGACACCCAACCGAATCGACGGACTAATGTTGAAGTCCAAAAACAGATCTGTCGCACCTCTACTAAAAAACAAATCTATCATACCCACACACCCAATCGCAAAACCCGCCGCACCCACGCACAAAAACCCCCAGCTACCGCTACATCCAAACACCGCAACCACTGCGCCACAAAAAAGAAGAAGAAAGAAATGGTAGATATAGACGGCTGCAGCGTCGGCGGTTTAAAAAACGGCTGGATCTGCGAGAGAAGAACGGTGAGTTAGAGGGAAAAATGGTTGGATCTGCGAAAATCTTGGGAAAGTGATAAGAGAATAGTGAATACAAGATAGGGAGAGGAGACGAAGAAGATCCAACGGAAGAGGCGGCGGCGTAGGAGTAGTGCAGAGAGACGGGCGGCGGAATTGAGTGGAGAGGTTGAGGGATCAATTGATTTAGTGTTCGGTGTACATAGGGTAGGGAGAGTTATATAAATGAATTTATGGTAAAATAGATATAAAAATAAAAATAAAAAAATATTCTTAAATTAATTAAAACCTGATTTTTGAAATATGAAACTTAAATTAGGATTTATGAAAATTGTAATTTAAAAGTAGGGTTGGGTGTAATTTCCTCATATATTTTACTATTGATAGTGTATTTGTTTTGTGGAAATCCTCCAAACCAATGCTGTTAAAATGGAATTAGATCGGCCGATTCAATTAGGAAAATTGGGAAGCGATATTCAAACCGGTTAGGCTATGACTAAAACCCACTTGATTTAAAAATCGAGAAAAAACTAGGCAATGACACGGTCTAACTGTAAAATCGATTGAGCCCGCACCGGTTTTACAAATGAACTTATGCTTTTTATTAGGGAAAAATTCATATTTAAGGTATATTCTTTATTTCAATTCAAAAATAAGGTAAATAGTTTAAAAATTCAAAAATCGGGTATTTATTTAATTAATTAAAATATTTATCAAATAAAGATAATAAAGTCATATTTTGTGATTAATGGTCACATATTCATAATTTTAAGTTACGGATTTATTTACTGGTCACATATCGTCAAAATTTTTAATCCCAAATTATTTCCAGGTCACATATCAAAAAATTAGTAC